TCAAAGGTAATTATTTAATGTGAAACTAAATATTCGAGAAACTAATTTTGTTCTCATTTTTTCTATCTTGTAGTGCAGAGATTGACGATATGCTCAGTATTTTGACGAGAGTAAATCGAAACGTCAGCAAAGGGGAGTATTTGAGATACAAACAAATGCCTGAACCCAAGTACACCCTCACAAAGAAAATAGTTCTTAAGTGTGCCTAAGCGTGAGGCAATGTATATCTGTCCGATCATGTATTTTATGTATTTATGTAAATATTTGTACATGGCCATGTTGTGAGAAGTCTTGCATCTTATGAAATGGGAAATTACTTTTTTCTTTATTTTCTGTTTTCTGTTTTTTAACATTTCATTAGACCCAGACATGTCTTTTGTTTGTTAACCTTCTCTTTATGCACATATGCACTGAACTAATGACAGCTTCATAAGAACATACATTCTGTGTCATTATTTTTGTAAATGAAATTCTACCGTTCTCAAATTCAAACGTATAAATTTTTTGTTGTGTGTGTGGTATATATTTGGTTGGGGGTGGGTCTGGTTCGACGAGTCATGAGCATATGGGACTGTTTTTAACCAGAATGTGAAACACTTGATTTGTATGCAAAGTGCTTTACAAATAACATTTGATTGATTTTTATTGAGATGCTGGTGGTGGTCGGAGGGGCTGATGGCACTTACTGGTTGCCTCGCTTCTGTCAAATTGCCCCAGGGCAGCTGTGGCTACAGTAGTAGTTTACCACCACCAAAGAATAAAGAGATGTCTTTGAATGTCCTGAAAAGTGCTTTTATAAAACCAATCCATTATTATGATCAAGTGTTAGTTACCATAGCGACAGTGTTTACTTACCAGCAGTTAAGTGTTTGGTCTTTTTTTGCATTCACTTTAACGGTTTTTTCTGTATTTAAAGTTATATCAATAGGGTTTAGCACTTGAATTTAGGTTAATTCCTTGTAAAATACTTATTTTAATACATTTGGTGAAACATTAAACATTTTGAGGGGAATTTTCCATTGGTTGGAATGGGCGTCCCAGTGTTAAAACGCTCATGAGAAGTTTTTGATAAGAAGCTAACAGGTATTGAACAGTATAATAAATGGATGTACATTGGCTCAGTCAGAGCAGATGAGTCAGCGGCTCTGTCAGTGCTACAGGCCTTTAGCCATGCTCTCTCTGAGCAGTTGTTCACGCAGAGATGTGGCCGGCGGATTCCAGGGCACACTCCACCCAACTGCTGTTCCAGGAAATGCTCCTCACTCACATCCGAGTACTGCCCACTCCGGCCTGTAGTGTAGTCTGTAGTCTGTAGACTGTAGACGAGCACAGACGACAGAAAACCACTGTCAAACAAGCTCCGTGTGTTTATCATAGACTATAGTCTCTTTAAGAAGGACTGACAGCACTTTGTCACTTCGCGCTGAAGTTTGGCAGCTTCCGCACAAGTTTTACGGTAAGCTTTGGGCTCTTAGTGGTACATATGTGTTAAGTGTTACAAAACATGGATGTTTTAACGATTTAATGTTGAATAATCATCGCTTGTTAACGTGTTGCTGAAGTATGAGGCGAAGTTCCCTCCTGAATAGACAGTTTTTGCCAGTAGTGTCCTGTCCTCCATGGTGGACACCGCGGTGACTCCCAACAGGCGGAAAACTTCAGAAGGCAAAACAGAAGTGTACTCAAATACTATTTTGCGTTACATAGGACGAATCTTACAACTTTCGTTACAATATAATCACTGTGGAGATCAGAACTGCTAATGTACTCAAGTCGAATAAAAGAACCAAGCTGTCTTTAGGCCAGTTTAGCGAACCTTTAGCTACATGGTGCTGTTGCGGGGCTCAAATGCGCTGACAGAGGACATTCAAATGGTATTTAGGGAAAGCAAAAATCATAATTAGTTAAGGTCACATTAGGTCTATCCTGGCACTGTTTGGAACTCAACATATCCACTTTGTAACTATAAAATACGTAGCGTTATATATATTATATATATGATTGTGTGTTAGATACAGATGATTAGGACCCCTCTTATCAAACAGGGAAGACATCATCACAGTTATTCAACCATTGTTTTTATGGGTACATTTCTGTGGTATTACATGCCCTAGTCATAACAAATGTCATCTCACATGACCGTGGCTGAAGACCTTCCTTATGTCACTGGTCTCGTAAGAAGTGTCGTCATTGAATAAGTTTTGACGTAATATTTTCCTTGTAACTTATTGTGATGTAATGGCCATAGAACTGATGTGGAGCCTCTCCCTAAACTTCCCAGTACCCTAGACACAGCAGTGAGCAATGTGTTTTGTCGTATTCAACATTATTTACTTCAGTGACTCTAGTTCATCCAGTGTTTCCTCCTTACAGGTCATGTCCTCAAACTATCCTCCAGGGTATGATGACCCAAACAAGCCTCTGTACCCACAAGGTGGGCATTACCCTGCACCTCCACCCTATGGTTTTCCATCCTACAGTGCTCCTCAGCCCAATACACATTACCCCTCTGGGTATGGAAACTACCCACCGGGCCCTTACCCAGGACAGCCTCATAACAGCGGACCGCCTCCCATGCCCCCAATGATGCCGCCCACCATTCCTGCAGGAATATTGGAGTCCGGTGATGGTACTTTTGGATCATTTCAGTATTGTTGATCTTAAATGCATACTGATGTCTTTGTTCTGGGGCAGGTGATGATTTTGCAAGAAGTGACGGTGCGTGGGACACTGTAAGCCTCCGACATGCATTCATCAGGAAGGTAAAGATTCACATGTGCTGTATGTGAATGTAAAGCACAGGCCTGTCCTAGTGAGTTTGTTTAAAATAATCAACAACTATTAAATTAATTGATAAATAGTTAACTCCATATTTCAGCACTGTTCAAATATGATTCTATTAAATCTCAAACAATTTGGATTCGTGGAAATGTCAAATGTAAATTATAAAATCTATGATTGAGATAAAAATAGCATGTACAAATAATCACGAGACTGCTCGATGTTATATGAAATAATTGTTAGTTACAGTGCATGATGTTTATCAAATTGTCTTGATTTTACAAGTGTGCAATTATTGAGTGTGTCAAAAGATAAATGACTTCAACAATACAGTGTTCAACAATGTTCTATGGAAAGAGCTGAACCAAAAGGGAAACATACCTTATATTTGAACACTTATTTTGTCATAAAGTGATAGTATGATGCTGTCTTTGCAGGTGTACATGATTCTGGGGGCTCAGCTCCTCGTCACCACTGCCATTGTGGCCGTGTTCACCTTTGTGTGAGTGTTTGTGGAATCACACTGTGTTTGAACATTTCATGTCTGTGTTTGACTTTGTTTCATTTATGTTGTAAGTGCACCGGTCAAGAGGTTTGTCCAAGAAAACCAAGCACTCTACTGGGCATCATAGTAAGGATCACTCTTGTATCATTGTTAACATTTCAATTTGAGTTAGTTTGAAATAATGTGGCTCTTTTCACCAGTGCTGTGTACTTCATCACCCACATGGTGCTGGTGTGCTGCACAGGTCCCAGGTGAGCTGCCTCAGAGATCACTATCAAACACTCAACAACCAAACTAAACCAAAATGTGTTTTAGGAGGAAACATCCATGGAACATGATTCTTCTGCTCATCTTTGTGAGTGTTCTTTAATATAACACTTTCTGTAAACACTACAATTAAGACCATTCAAGAGAAAATGTGACCAACTTTTTGTTGCAAGTTCTCATTTAAAAATATATATATATTTTTAAAAAAAGTTACCACTTTCATTTTTTCTTTTCCGTTCTTCATTTCAGACTTTGGCCTTGTCTTACATGACAGGGACCATATCCAGGTACAAAGCATACGTTTCATTGAAAAAAATATTTAAGTTAATGTACTAATTATTATTTGGTTTCTCAAGTTTCTACAGCACACAAGCAGTGTTTCTGGCCGTGGGCATCACTGCTGTAGTTTGTATCGCAGTCACAGTTTTCTGCTTCCAGACCAAGGTAGACTCATATTTAATGTTTATGAAACCACTCAATATTAAGAAAAAACATTTTTTTTCACTTTAAGGTTGACTTTACCAAGTGTCAAGGCCTGTTCTGCGTCCTTGGGATTGTAATGTTTGTGACTGGCATCATCACTGTTATTGTCCTGTCGTTCAAATACGTAAGAGGATGAGAATTGTGTATTTGTGCTTGAGATACCTGTACTGAAGTCTCTTTTCTTGAACAGATGTATTGGCTGCACATGCTCTATGCGGGGATGGGTGCCATTGTCTTTACTATGGTATGCACTTTTAGCATATGTTCATCTGTTGATTCACCCACAAAAGGACAATTTAAGCAGTTAACAAGTTGCATTTTGTCTTGTAGTTCCTGGCGTACCACACACAGCTGTTGATTGGAAATCGGAAGTACTCCATCGGTCCGGATGAGTATATTTTTGCTGCTCTGTCCATCTATGTGGACGTGATCCAAATATTCCTTTTCCTGCTGCAAATTATTGGCTCCTCAAACAAATAAGAGTATATACTCCATAACTGCTTCCAAAACCATTCCATATGGTTCCAACTTCATAATCAAAAGGCTACTTTGATAACTTTATTTTATAACTTTTTGGTTTCATACTTTAAAAACAGCATGACTATACTGTTACTATACTTCATTGCAGTATACAAGGGTAAATTGTATAGTAAATGTGGTTTTATGCCAGTGATGGTTGGTTTGATTTTGTTTTCAGCACTGTTCTTACTCTTCATTCTGACATAAGATTTATTTTTTGTGCATGTAATATCTGATCATTGTATGTTTGTTTTATTCCGGCTAATGATTGATGTTCCACCAGTGTCTAACCAAACCTTTTGTTTTGAATGTTACATTGGCTAAAGCCTTTTGCTGTATTTAATTCTGATGTGTGTAGAAATGTATAATAAACAAAGACTTTATCATTATGATTTATTGTCTATGCACATTATTTACATTGCACTTAGTCCATTATTGGTCAGTTTTAACTTCCAGTATGTCGCTGATATCTACTCCCTTCGAAGTCTCCGTCGTTGGACTGTCTCATCCTCTGTCGGATCTTCAGTTGCTTTAGTCGATTCTTATCCACTTGTTGCTTGGCAAAAATGAAAGTAAGGATTCCAGTTGGTAGACCAATGATCCTGAAAGTGACAAAGTAATATTACTGGTTACAACCAAGTCTCTAATAGAAACCAGAACCTCATGTAATAAACTATATAATTCTTTACTGTTTTAGGTCAATTCATTTCACCAAAATTATATCTACATGCTCAGTGAAAACCAAAACATGAAGATTTTTCTGATTACTTTTTCTACAAAGTGTTTGCCATATGTGAAGTTAATGTAGAGAAAACAGTAATAAGTTTCAACGGGAATAAATGTTTCAATAAGAATGGTCGTGAAACGGTATTAGTCTTGCTGTATTTATACATCCCTTTGTAGTAATAAGTTGTGTAAACACAGCTCAAGGTCGCATCATCGTAGAACAGATACGATATCTGCCCTTCACGGGATAGCATGCCTCATGTATACTTTCAAGCAGCAATTAGTGTCTAGGCTGCATTCGCAGTTAAGACATTGTTAAAAGTTACAGCTGTTTGCTTTTGATACATTTGGAAAGTACCATTGCAGGCCTTTAAAATGTCATGCTTAATTGTGATGTTGATGCTTTCGATTCTCCAGATATTGCACATTAGCCCAAGATCCAAATTCCCCGAACTGTGTGTACATTTCTTTTGCACAATCTTGAGTGATTCTATCCATGCCAGATGTGACCTGGACATTTCTCCTGTGTGAGATCAAAAGTTTATTTATTTTGTGACCATGGACTTCCTTCGTCCCACAGTGAGCAAATGTCAGTGTTGGTAGAGTGGCTTAACACTGCATTAATGATCTGCATCATGTACTAACCAGGCATATCCAATTTTCATCATTGGATTCTTGGCTTTTCTCTTAGGGATGTACTCCGGGCCTTCATCGACCTCTTCTGCGCTGGCCTCTGGGTCTTGTTTTGGAGGGCTCTGTGGGGGGCTTTGGTGGACAGGTCTAAAGTAGGCAGGGGACCCGTACACGGGCCGGGAAAACTGCCCTAGTGCTCCGTGGCTGCGCAGGGCTCGGACTGGAGCAAACTGTGCACCTGGAAAACATGATCTTATCAACGACTAAAACGTGAACCTTACAGATGAGTGACTGCCTGCACTTATTTGCCCCATAGAAACACAAGTATCTTCCACAAGTACAATTATACATGGTTCGCGGACACACACCCTACACAATGTTATTGCTGGTGACATAATTTACCTTTCAAAGATATCCGTATTATTGCTGTCCCGAGGGCCGCCATGATGCCAAAACTGCACATGCGCAGTGAGTGTTTAAATCACTATACTACCACATAGCGGCTAACTTAAAAATCGCAGAGCACAAAAGGTAGGAACAATATTTTATTATATCAAATACAATTATTTAGTTTACAATATTGAATGGAAAACAAATCTTTCAAAAAGGCCTATAAGAGATGACAAATTTAGAAAAATATTTACATGGTCAAAGATTTATGTTCAAATATCTTGAATGCTACAACTACGTGTTATTACATAAGAGCATTTGAAACCAAATGAAGTTACACACAGCTTATAGGTCATAAAAAGGTGCATCCCTCATATAATTGAGACTCTGCATTTTCTCTTGGGTCCATCTAGTCCAGCATGTTTTTCCATCTAAATTCAGACATGAGTTCAGAGAAGGTACAGGTCTTTGCTGCAAAGCAGAAGAACTGCCAAAATACAAATTACATTTACTAAAAGTATTAAACTAGTTTTATATTAACAGAGAGGCATTCCAAGCAACGCAATAACATCTATGGTAACTTACACCATCAGAAAAGTTGCACAATGCATCTTTAATCTTCGAGGATGTAGTTAGGGTTCACAACCAGCACCGCTTCTTCCTCTGTACTTGCAGGTTCTGATCCCTTCAATCCAGCTTGTGACAGCTCAATAAGAATGTGATCCTAAAAACAAACCACATGCACTTAAATATATGCAGCCAGTGGCTTGGATAATGTCAACTGTCAAACTTACATAGTGAACAAGTCTGTGGATTACTTTCTCCACGAGTGCCTTTTTATTGATCAGATCCTCTTCAGACTCTATATCTGCTTCAATCTCCTTCAAGTACCAGTTCACGACAGCACTCTTCTTCAACTCCTCCTCTTCCTCAACTGAAAAAGGTCGAACAAAAATGTCTAAAGAAGTACACATCTAACAGTCATGTGTAGATACTGACCTTCTTCGGACTTGCGCAGATGCAGAACTAAAAGGTTGGAGATGCGTCTGTATTCAGCAAAGGACAAGCGAAGGGAGGGTTTGGCCTGGCTCTCCGAATGCCCGTTGACGCCATTCACATGGCCGTTGACGGCAGCAAGGCCATTGATGCCATTCACCCCGTTAACTCTGTCCCCGTTAACCCCGTCCATGCCATTAGCTAAAAGGTTAAGATAAAGTTAGAGAACTTAAAAGACAGTGCGACAACAAAAACATTGTTGTAAAGTACCTTCTTGTTGCTCCTCGTCCTCCATTTGTTCTTCCTGCTCAAGATTTATGTCAGGCGTCTCAACCCGAATGATGGACTTGTTAAGAAGACGAAACGCTTCCTTTACGTGTTTGGGCTGAACCTGAGAACATAATAAAAATATATGATTATATTAATATTAATAACAATAACAAAAATCCGCCTCACACCTCATCACAACAGTGCATACGGGCCATGGACTCTGACAGCCGAATCATGCTCTCCAGCTGGCGCACAGTGATCCTCCAGGCCGACTTGGTCACGCCCCCAGAGCCGTCCCGCTGGCGAAGGCGCTTGTACTGCTCAACAATGAACTCTTCAGACTCACTGGAAATCTACACATGGAAAAAGTCCAGTTATTCAAAGTTGACAACGAACACCACAATTAAGTTTGATGAAGGTACCTTTGGTTTGAACTGACGAGCAAACAACAGATATCTGCGGATTTCATCCAGTGAATAAAGTCTGTCCACAGACTCCTCCACACGCGAGTGTAGGTCTACAATGCGCCGAGCAATGGCATAGTCCGTTACCTTAACACAAATGTATGACACAGAACTAGAAACAGCTTTTCGACCAGAGCAGAGCTCCTAAGCTTTGAGAACATGTAGTCTGGTACGCTGTAACAGAGCAGCTCAAGGTTTGTCAAAATCAAATCTTTATTTTAGTATCAGTATTTTAAAGAAATTAGTTTCTTTTGCAAATTCATTTGAGAATAATAAAAAGGGAGAGAACAAGGACAAAATCCCATCTTGCCACCATGCTTGTATTATTTTGATATAGCTGCTGTAAATGGTGACCGTGAAGTATTGTGCAAAAAATATATATATATATCACGATTCTACAATAAATGCATTTAAACTGGTTTTATACAGAGGAAAGCGGAGCTCTTTTCACATGGGTTATAGTGTCATATTTTAGGTGCCGAATAAGAAACCATCACCAGCCAAAGCCAAACCACCTTACCTCATTACAATCGTCCACCAGGATGAAAAACAGGTCAAAGCGGCTCATGATGGGAGCGGACAGATTGACGTTTTGCTTCAGGCTCTTGCTGCGATCGTAGCGGCCACCCACTGGGTTTGCAGCAGCCAAAATAGACGTCCGAGCATTTAGAGTGGCCTTGGAGAAATATAATTTATGATTCAAACACTATACTAATATGAAAAACAACCTCTGAATAAAATACAATACCTTGACCCCAGCTTTAGTGATGCTGATAGTCTGCTGTTCCATAGCTTCATGAATGGCCACCTGATCTTTTAAGTCCATTTTGTCAAACTCATCAATGCAGCACACACCCTGTGAAAATATAGGAATAGGTTTAACAAGCTGGTGGGAATTTCTGAGAAATGAACATATGAAGCCACAAACTCACATTGTCTGCCAACATCAGGGCTCCAGCCTCAATAACAAACTCATGAGACTCTTCATCTCGCACCACAGCAGCAGTCAGACCAGCAGCGCTGCTGGCCTTTCCACTGGTGTACACCGCTCTTGGACTGAACTCCTCTACATGTCTGTACACAGTGAAGTCAAACGTTAACACCTCAGCCGTGACAAACAGTAAATGTTTGTCTTTTCATACTTAAGGAATTGACTTTTTGCAGTACTTGGGTCTCCAACAATACAGACGTTGATATCCCCTCTGAGTGATGTCCTCTCCATAGTTGTTTTAGGAACACCTCCAAAGAGCATGAGCAGTACGCCACGTTTAACTTCATCGTTACCTGCGCATACAATAAACTTAGAAAAGGTTTACAGCACCACACTTTACACTAACTGTATTCACAGACCATGAATAGTGGGGAAGAGACTGGTGCACAGGTTGTGATAGAGATTCTTGTCTTGGCTCATTTCAAACACTTTCTCCCACTCCTTTTCAGTCATCTGACTCTTGATACTTTCAGCTGTCTGGTCTTCTTCCCGCAGTTCTTTGCCTCCAAACTATTAGAAGAAAATAGCCAATAGATAAATCTAGCAAAAAAAGTAATACATCCACTACACAAGACATACACGAGGGTTTGTGGGCGCCACATTGCAGGCGAGGAAGGCCAGTCTGTAAGACAGCTCCCTCACTCCCAGAGCCTTCAGTCCCCTCAGACCTTCTGCTTCAAAGCCTTGTCGTCCACCAGCTAATCGGGTACTGGTCTCTGCACGGACTCCTGCACAGAAAAAGGGTACGCGTTTATATTGTTATGTTTCTATCACTTTACATTTTTGTAAATATATGGAATGATATTGCATGGAGTAACTTTACATTGAACTTCAGCTCATTTTATTGTACCTTGGGTGGCAAGCTGAGACACATCTGGCACAACAATCAAGGACCCAGTGAAGTCGCAGCGGTCTCCAGCCTGCGCCGTCTCCACTGCCTCTGCCCGCAGAACTATCTCCAGTGACCGTGGGATTGAGCCTCGAGGAAGCTCTGCCTGAGTCTCCTGAATACGAACCTTATAAAACACAAAACAACGTTTACAAACTTGAAAGTTCACTTGCATAATGCTTATTCACCATTTTAAAACAGAAGTACCTTCTGGAAATCAACAAACTTGGACTTGTGAGTGTCAAGGTGGAACCGCGCACGGTTGCTGCAGACAGGGTTTCTGCAAATAGTGGGCGGCGAGTATTTAAACTGCTGCGGGACGTCTTTAATCACTGCCTGGCAGTCCATGCAGACGAAAGTCCCACTCACCTGTGAAGCAGTCGAATTATACATTCAATATTACACAATCAGAAATGAATCATTCATGTAGCATTTTCTCCTTTATTTTCAGACAGGGAATTATGGTTAAACAGCACAGCAATAAAAAGAGATAAGATCTCATTAAATCTATATTATTTGAATGATCACCACGTACCAGTTCAGGGTGCACAGGGTGAGTCCTGACCACTTGACCACTGATTCTCACCAAGGAGCCAATACGCATTGATGATAGCTCACGAATCCTGCAATCGTACAAGATCAAGAGAATGTATTTAAAAATGAATACATAATTAACAGTAATGTTAATACAACGTTAGAATGTGTAATGCCATTTACTTGTGTCTGGTTGGTAGGTCCTGGATGGCAACATAAAATTCTTTGTTCAATGGGACATTGCCATGATCCCGTGCAACATTTCGGACAGCACGACACAAGAACGGATACACCCTGAGTGCGCATGACAATATTTCACAGAATTAAAACACATAACACGGTTGGATACACTGAAAGCAAGTTCGTTTTCTTGGTGTGGACTAAACATACAATTCATATTTCTAATGCTAGTTGGGCAAACAAATTCATTTTGTCCAAGCATATGGACAGCTCCTGATAACCAAATGTCCCTAATGTTATGACGCAGGAAGACTATACACCCACCGCAGTTTTGAGTGTTCCAATCTCATCTAGAAGTATGTATGTACTATACCCGCAGCGCATGAAGTATGTATAAACTATCCCCGCAGCTCATGTGGCCTCACCTGTAGTATTCCTCCTGAATGGTGGTCGCTAGCTCCTGGTTGAAGCCTTCCAAATCGGTGAAACTCACAAGTAGTGTGTTTCTCTCGGGCCGAATCAACTCTTCTGCCTCACGCACGTACTTCACCTCTCCATCCACGCTCTGATACCTGCAAAACCCCAGCACGTGAGTTCCATACAGCAGCTGAACCTTTGCGGTGCTACTTTTACACAGACAGTCTGACAAAGAGAGCACACAGGCCTGATACTCACTCTTCAAGAAAAGCCTGGAATAACTTCTGACATTTCTCCGCTAACTCGTCCTTTACGAGCTCTGCGGCGGTCTCGGCAGTGGCGGTGGCTACGTCCATGTCGGAAAAGTGTCAAATGAAGTGGAAAGAGGGCTGAATGCTTTGCTGGTCTGTTGGTCCACACCGTACTATCTCACACGCAGGTCTCGACAACAGACAGGAGTTTCGCGCGAAAAGAGAAACCACGTGACGTTTGGCGCGCTGAGGGAGGCCAATGAGGAACGACATGCAAAGATCTGCGTGCGCACAGCCAATCAGAGTCCTGTGCAATGTTGCTGACCTATTTTATGGACAGAAAATGTGTCCCTTTAAAATGAGCTTTTAGTAGTTCCCAATGATGTGTTGGGCAAGTTACTAGTTACAATTACACATAACATTTATTACAAGTTAGTAGGATGTGTGTCCTGCTGTGTTCCGGACACACAGCAGTTATATACAGAAATATGTATTGGACAATGTAATCATAATCTTTTAACGTATTAAACTGGATAAACAAAACAAATGGGCATTACATTAAGTTTGTAAGTTTTCCCTACAATTCATAATGTTTTTGTAAGGAATTACGTTACAGAGTTACTTCAAATTGGAATATATTGCAGTCCTTTATGCTGATACAAATTACATTTTTTGCTCAGGGTCCCCGGATTTTGGATTTTCCCCTATCCCTTTTTTTGCACGTCAAGACAAAGATGACCACTAGAGGAGGCTGTTTCCCAGCTGGATCCTCTGATCACTGGCAGGTTATCCGCTTATAAATGATCAGTCGTCGAGGCTCCGTAGACAAGTTCATTAAAATGCAAAACAAAAAGAACTCTTCAGGTTTGTGGGGGTGTAAGTTCAAGTAGATAATCAATATCATTTGATGCAATAAGAAAATGACATCAAAGGGAAACAAAAGTAATGCTGCATATAGCTTAGAAGGGGACTCATGTGCACAGCATCTTTTATAACGCTTAAAATGCTATAAACCACGATGTATCATTGTAAAGAGTTCTTGACCCTTTTCCTGCAATTGATTTTTCATTGTACAGGTACGGAAGCTTGTTAGGTTCAGTTGTGAGTGTTTTTTTTTTGTTTTTGTTGCTGGTATCATGTTATTTCATGATAGAAGTTTATCATGAAATAACATGATACTGTAGATACAGAAGCTGTCAGCTTCTTCTGATAAATTGGTATCATAAAATAACATGATAAGTTGTGTATCATGAAATAACATGATAGTTGTGTATCATGAAATAACATGATATTTATCATGTTATTTCATGAAAGTATCATGAAATAAAATGATACCAGCGGGAAAAAACACACTCACAAGTGAACCTAACAAGCTTCCGTATACAGGCCTAAACTTTATTTTTATTTTTTTGAATACACAGTATATTACTAATGATCACTACAACAGATAAAGGGCACAGAACAAGTTTGAGTTAATAAAAGCTGTCTGTTCCCACATTACTCATCTGTAGTGGTCCATACAAACTCTCAGTGGCTACAAGTTTCACCTGTCTCATTGTGTGAATCCAGAGGCCCAAAGCAGGAAGTTATTGTGCACCATTTGGACTCAGACCAGTGCTTCTCTGCAGCTATATTTCTCTCTTTGTCTTGACCTCTGTTTTTCCCACAATTGTTTGAACGCAGGAAACATGAACATCTGTGGACCATCACACAAAACTGGGTCCTTTTTTTGCTGAATAATATGCAGAAAATACTATTCTACATACATGTAAAATCATCTGCATTTACATCAACTAACCGATGTAAATGCAGCTTTCAACACCTTTCTTGATACATTCCTCACGCTCTATAATAAACACTATCCTGTCAAAAAATCTACAGTCAGAAAACACACAAACACACCTTGGATAACAAAAGGGCTTGCAAAGTCTTGCTAAAAGAAAAATATACTATATAGGCAATTTTTTTAGGTACAGAACTAGTGAAACTGGAAAAAAAGTATAAAAAAAATATGAAAACAAATCAACCAGCATACTAAGAGTAAGTAGAAGAGAATATTATACAGATGCATTGATTAATAAAAAAAATGATACTAGAGGAATTTGGAAAGTCTTGAATACCGTTATTGGTCGTGATCCCAGCAGCTCATGTTATCCAGGGTACTTTGTGGAAAATGACACAATAATATGTGACAAAACAACAATTGCAGACAAATTCAACAATTTCTTTGTGAACATTGGTCGTGAACTGGCGCAAAAAATCCCATCTACCGATGGACAAATTAAGGGACTCATCGAGATAAACCCTAACTGTATGTTCCTCACTCCAACCTCCTCACTGAAAGTCATCAGGAACAGCAAAAACAAAACATCTCAAGACATAAAAAACATCGACATGAGGACTGTTCTAAATGTTGCAGAAGAGATCATACATCCATTCACATATATCTGTAACTTATTCTTCCAACTTAGTTGTTTTCCATTGCAAATGAAGACCGCTAGAGTCATACCTATCTTCAAATCAGGGGACAAACACCATTTCAATAACTATCGGCCTATTTCCCTTTTGCCATAGTTTTCAAAAAAATTAGAAAAATTATATGACAAAAGACTCCGGAGCTTCATCGAAAAGCATCAATTATTTTCTGATTGTCAGTATGGGTTCAGGGATAATAGGTGTACTTCACATGCATTGATTGATTTACTAGAACAAAATACAAATGGTATTGAAAAAAATAAATTTGTTGTTGACATTTTTATAGATCTTCAAAAAGCCTTTGATACTGTAACACTGTAGTGTTGTAGAATGCAGGTGAGCTTCAATAACAAAGCCAGACAGTCAGAGTGGGTCCAACAGCCCTATGGCAGCTTTTATTTACATTACATAAGTATTAAAAACAGAAAATGGGACTATTGAACTACAACAGTGAAACTTGAAGCTGGGGTGAGGGGCAGTCTATATGAAAAGCAAACACAAAAGTAAACAGAAATCCATCCCCACAACAGAAATCACCATAAACATACATGTGCCACCTACACCAAAACTACAAACAAAGCCACCACTTAAAGTGAGCCTCGTCACCCCAGCTATCAACAAAGTAACTCTACACAAACTAAAATAAGCAAAATCTAAATATAAAGTAAACGGCAACCAGCACTGGGCCTATGAATAAAACCCAGTGCAATTAATAAAATGAATTATAAAATACAAACAAGATTTATAAAAGCATACCTCAACAAGACAGGACTGTTGTAACCCTTAAAAGACATTAACAAAGTATTTTTAAAATATACAATCAATACAAATATAAAATCACTCTAAACACTTTCAGCTCACCAGAGTCTGATTGTGAACAGGCTGGCTCAGGAAGAGGAAGTGAGCCCTGGTTGCCTGTCTTTTAAAGCCTTGGTCATGTGACCAGGCCACACCCATGACCACACCTACACCTGCCACATATACCCCTAGGATTTGAATCGACGTCCCGTCGAAGTCTTCAAAGCCAGGGCCTATGAAAAGTCACCTTAGGGGCACCTGCACACACTTGTGACAACCCCTTTTGTATGAGCAGTCCTGGCAGGTTATATGGGTTGGGATGTTGGCCGGCTGTAGTCCTTTGAGAGCGGCGTAATCCTATTGCTAGAGGAGTGGCAGCTTTTGACACCATAGCAGGAGGTCCAGGCTCCCCAAGTATTTGAGTCCTTTCAACAGGATGATGTTCCAGTGCAGGAGGTTCCGGCTGTACAGGCATTTGAATCCTTTCAGCAGGGTGTTGCTCCACTAACACAAAAGAAATTTCAGAATCATCATCCTGTTCAGTTAGCATTTGTTCAGGGAACCCCAAATCTGGTATTAATTCAGTAGTGTTTTGGGTGACTTGAGCAGGGCGAATTTCTGATCTGTGAATTTGTTTAGATTTTCCTTTACCATCTGCTGTTGTCACAGTGTAAACGGATCCACCCTCTGCTGGACTTTGAAGCACCTTGTACAGCACTGGAGACCAGTAGTCTTGTATTTTGTGACGACCTTTGTGACTATGGTCACGACAGTAAACCAACTGGCCAATCTGCAAGACGTCCGGCTTTACCTTGACATTGTGACATATGGCTCGTCTTGTAGCGGCATGTTGTAATTTATTTCTTGCATCTTGGAAGATGTGTTCAATGGCATCTCGATGGTTATAGGTCCACTCTTCTGTGGTTTCCATCGTTCCCAACAGGCAGTCAATCGGCAGCTTTGGCTCCTGTCCAAACATTAAAAAATATGGAGATTGTCCAGTGGAATGATGTCTTGTTGTATTGTAAGCAAAGACTACATGGGATAAGTGTTTTGGCCACTGTTTTTTCTTGTCATGTGGTAAGGTGCGGAGCAAATCATGCAATGTCCTATTAAAACGTTCACACTGCCCATTGCCTTGAGGCCTGTATGGTGTCGTTCTGGTTTTTGTGATGTCATACATGTTGCATAATTGCTGAATTACTTTAGCTTCAAAGCAACGTCCTTGATCTGAGTGTAACTGGCCTGGAACACCAAAAATATGGAACCAGTTATTGACAAGAGCTTGGGCCACTGTATCAGCAGTTTGATCTTTTGTTGGGATGGCCTGCGTGTATTTTGAGAATACATCTGTCATTATGAGGACATTTTCTGTACCATTTGATGATACATCCAAGACAGTGAAGTCTATGGCCAAAATGTCATTAGGTCTTTTAGCTAGTAAATGTCCCATAAAGCTCCGCGGATGTAAGTTTCCCTTTTTTGACACTGTACAGCGTTCACAATCTCGGCAATAGGCTTGAACAGTTTGGTCCATACCTGGCCAGTAGCAACGTTTTCTGATGAGGTCTAGGGTGCGATCTACCCCCTGGTGACCATGTTGGTCGTGGGAAAACTGAAGAGCTTTGAGCTGCAGGCATTGTGGAAGCAACAGCTGATGTGTTGGTGGCCCTCCCTCTGGTGGCGAGACTTGCCTGTACAGAATGCCATGTTTTTCGACAATTCTGTCCCATTGCCTCACCAATTTCAGGACCATCGGGGACATCCTCATCCTTTCATGTCGGTCTGGCTGGTTACCCCTGTCCCAAAAGACACGGAATTCCGTAAGTGAG